CCACAGCTGCTGAAAGCCTGAACGCCAGGGCTGCCCCAGCCACAGCTGCTGAAAGCCTGAACGCCAGGGCTGCCCCAGCCACAGCTGTGACATTTGGGTACTGCAGCATCTTACATGGAGAAGGACACTCATTTTTTTCCCTTCAGTGCGAGGTGGGAAGCTCGATGCGGCGGGTCAGCGCTCCGAAAGTGGGTTTACTCTGGCGGGAAATGCCTATTTGTGCTGCACGCAAATGGAGTGGGCCTTTCTGACATTGTTTCAGCCCTGTGGGCAGGAGTAACCTTTGGGAGAAATGGGAGCGATTTAAAGATGTTGGGGGCGGGGGCAGAGGTGTGGTGGAGCATTGGGGAAGTGAGCGATGATTTGGTACAAGCTCACTTCCTCACATATCTTTATATCATGCACATCCACCTTATAACTTCACCTGTGTTGTCTTGTGTTCTCTGGTTCCACGGTGCATATCCAAATGACCCCCCCTATCACCACCAAAAGTGGTACGACCCACTTTTTATCCTATTCCAGTATAATATTGCGTGGGTGTTGCACCTGAAATGTCTCTGAAAATCGTGTTAGGTACTGGGGGGGGGAGTTTTTAAGAAAAAACGGAAGAATAATTATCTGGATATTTGCTTCGGTTCTGACATCCCAAGAAGGCGAAATATGTTATGTAAAGCATATATTTCTGTTTCCAGGGACTCAAGCATTGCATAATGAAACGCTTATGGAAATGTGACTCAAGATAGCGGCAAGTTTGTAATGCAACTACTGAGCTTAAATGTATCTTTACGAACTTGGTTTGTCGTTTTGGTTATTTTTTGCATCATTTGAGTATTGAACTATTTACAAAACATTAAGGCCCAGTAAAATATTTGACTTTATGTCTTAAAGACATTCCTTGTTACATTGTTCAAGGTAAGTTTATCTGTAATTTACTGACAAGTTTACTGAGCGTTTCATAGATGTATGTTTACATGCCTTGCAGTCCCCTGAAGTTGTAAGTTTAAAGAAGGTTAAAAATGAAAATGAAATTTTAAAATGCTTTATTTACATTGGAGTGCTTCCTTTTCCATATTCCATCTTTTTCTCCTTTTGAGGTATACAGTTGACCTTGGGTTCCAAGCCTGCAGTTAGAGCATTTTAGGGGGGGGGAGGGGGGGTGAGTACCTGAGGCACAAACCCATGTCCTTCTGATCATCAGCACAGAGTGGGGTTACCCAACCCAGTCCGTACGGACCCCCAAACGGTCCACATTTTCTTTCCCAATTCCTTGGCAATTGGGAGAGAGCAAAAACATGGACCGCTGGGGGTCCGTGCGGAATGGGTTGGGAAACCCCGGCATAGACCCGCTGAGCCACACGCCACTCCTCTTAAGTGGGGGCCCATTACCCTTAATGTTGCTGGAGTATTAGTTGCATGTCGGATGGAGCAATTAACGCAGATGCCTGTGATCTGTAACATCCATTGTTATAGATGTAAGTCAGGGGTGGGCGATCTTATCCGCAAAGGGCCGGTGTGTGTGCGGGCTTTCGCTGCAACTCCCTAACCAGATTGCTAATTTGAAGTCTGATTGGATGAAGAGTCCTCACACCTGGGTTTGAACAGCTGACCTAAAGGTCATCCCAAAAACCTGCATACACAGCAGCCCTTTGTGGATAAGATTGGCCACCCCTGATCTAAGGCTTCCTTCCTAGACCTGTTTAACCCCTTAGAACAGTCCGCAGATGCCAGTCTGCTTATTTACTCCGATCCGGTTTGGAATGTGGAAGCTCAAAGGCTTCAGTGGGCCACAGCAAACAGTCACCCGGAGCTGGCCAATCGGCTGCCTGCACCAGCCCTCCCCTTATAGTACGCTACTCCAGGCTAACCCCTGATGAATGTGCCGTTGTTTTAAATGCCCTTGACTCCAAAAACGTTGTCAGAATTTTGTTTTTTCTTCCCTCCCCCCTCCCCTTTACTGGTTGGTTGTGGGTGGGGGGAAAAAAAAAAACAACTTCAGTGGTAATCAAGGAGGTGGGCTGAGTAATGTAAGCGCCAAACTGCACAGAGCATAGTGACCTAAAACATTAGCAAGTGAACTTAAAGTCCTGCTGTATA